TTCCTCTGTTGAGCCTAACGTCAAGTTGTATTTTATTTGTCAGAATTGGAATAATTCTCTTGATATTTGTTGAGAAGGATTTAGAGTTGCTTATGAGGTTTAGTGCAATAGTGTGAGTGAGCGTGTGTATGTTATCATAAACGTGGAAATAGGCTTAGAGTAATGCGTATGTTTTGCAGATCACAGTGCTCTGTTGGAGGTTTTCGTTGAAGGATATTAAACTTTTTAGCCTTTCCAAATCTTAAATACTTTATGTAGTGTAATGTTTACATTGGATCGGTAGGTCAAATTGGTTACGGAAAAATACCAAATGTCACATTTGTGTTAAATTCTCTATATTTTAATCATTTGATCCATACAGTATGATTGTATGTGTTCAGAAATGTGCTTTATCTTGTATGTCTCCACTCATTTGAAAAATGAACAGCAATAGACGATTATAAACAAAAACATACATACGCTCATCTACTCACACACAGATATACACGTATGTACACATGACAGCACAGTGAGAGCAGTGGAAACATGTCTTTTGTTGAGGCATTTTGGATTAACCCGGCAGTCTCAGTTTGTTTTGTTTCCTTTTTAATGTTGGTTATGTTGTGTATTTCCTGTCCTGTGCTGGTAAAGCTTCTGGTTTGTGTGACGGGATCCAGCAAATGGATCAGTGTCCGACCACTGCCTGCTTTTTTTTTTTTTGTAGCACTGAGAACACGTCAACCCTAGTTTAAAAAAAAAAAAGTAAAAACTAAAGAGGTAGCCTACAGTATGCACTGATTGTATAATGAAGGCATACATATTACTTATCATTACAGTTTGGACAGCTGATGGAGATTATTACAATTTTTTTTTTTTTTTGTTATTTTTAAAGTACAAAAAGTAAAAATATTTATCAGTGGCTTCTTCATACTTACTTTTGCCTTAACATGGTTCAAAAGCCAAGGAAACACTCTATTTTTTCATCATGGAACATTTCACTTCTGTCACTGTTCCTTCTTAGAAAATAGAAAAAAAATAATAATAATGGCAACTTATTTAATATTCATTTTATTTTCCCTAAAACTTGTAAGTACTGTATTGTAATAAAGAATATATAGTATAAGATAGAGAAACACTTGGTGCTTTGATGACTCTGCCGGTGAGTAGATGCAGTTGGACAACTACGTACACTGTAGTTTTGATGTTCATATAAAAATTAAAATTGAAAATGTCCAGAAACTTGCCTCATTGTTTACAGTTAATATTCATGCAAATTCATTTTTAAATTAAAAAAAAAAACAAAAAACATTTATATTAAATAAATGGCAATACTGTTTTTTCAAAATACACAGAAACAACACAAGGTGTGTCCTCAGAGTTTAGTCATTGGGGGTCTGCAGTGACCTCTGAGGCTGTTGGTGGCCATGGGTGGTGGCAGGTGAGGGTGATGGGGTTGGATATAGAGATCCTGTGGGTGTCATCCAGTGATGAGGCGCCAGAGGCAGCGTTATCGGATACATCTCGTAGGCAGGCGGCGCCCCCCCCGGCCATATGCTCGTCAGCTTGGGGTCAAACTGCGTGAAAGTGACATTCAACATAAAACTCTACTTTGCCCTTAGAAACACAGTCCATTTTAAAACTGCTACCCAGTGTTTTATACTCGAGAGTCGGATCAATCTTCCAGAGTTTGTAGAGTTGGAGAACCGTTGTTCATTTACAGAGCCTTAATATGCTTCTTAAAAAACTAGGTAGGATTTTAAAATGATTGTGTGACTCTGTGCCAGTATAGATTGTTGATTTTTCTGTGACACAATGTGAAGAATGGCAAAGGTCAAAACAACAGACCTGATATAACTGATGTAAAAGGTGCTCCTATGTGTCAGCAGTATTTTTGAATAATACTGTGATGCAATGGCTGACTGTGGAGAGGGCGTACGCACCAGCGAGTATGGAGGAGGGTGATCCACCGTGCTGTAGCGAGGAGGGAATCTGTCGTAATGTTGATCTTCCTCTAAAGAAATTGTGTGGACTACTGAAGAAGTGTTGTCGTCTTGCGTCATCGGCATGGTTACATCATATGCTGCTCTTTTCTTTTTTGCCTGAAGATAGAAGCAGAGGAGCACCACAGCGATGCACACCACCAAGACTGGGAATCTGGGGACACATTTCAAGACTTAATTATTTCATTACCTTATTTTTATGGAGAGATTCATCCATGACTTTCTTTGATTACTTACATATATCCAAAGATATTCAGCACCGCACTCATGGCTCTGATTATGTCAACCTGCTGACATTACTGTAAAAACAAATTAAGATATATATTGTGCTGCAGATGCAGATTTGTGTCATCTTGCTTGAAATCAACAACAATACAATTATGTGAAATATGGACTTTCATTGAGAATGAAATAACCAATCACAGGGTTGTGACCTGATCTGTTTCACTCACAATAATCTCATTTTAAAAACTACTGAAAACTGCTCAGCTGTGAACCACGGGAGAGGTTAAATCAGTTTCTTAGACGCATGTTAAGCGGCATGAATCACCAGCGTAAAGTTTGACTTTATACTGTTTGAGCTTAACAATGGACGGTGAACCTTCATCCTATAAATCTGTAGCTCATATAAACTTTTAAGTAAAAATCGGTGAATTCACATGAATGAAACACAAATCAAACCGATGACACAGATTTATACCAAAACTAGATTCTTATCTTTTTTTACACTGTGATGAGTCCTTACCTTATCAAAGAGTCCAAAACATACAAAAACTGTGCTGACCTGCAGGTCGCTAACAAAAGATAATGTGTCACTTAGGGAAGTGCACAACCTGAAGAGCTTTTACAGCATTATTGTCTTGTTTAAAGACACAGGACATCGAGGTGTGCTCTGTGTCTTGCATATTTCTTGTGTATGTTGAACGAAATCACTCGCCACTGCGCCGTAACTCTGAGGTCAGCTATCAGACCACTAATATACGACTTTGTCATGATAGCCAGAAAATTTAAACTTCCCCCTGACTAGTGATGGCTGAATTCCTCGCACCTTATGAAGTGAACAAATTTCTTACTTTGATTTTTAGAAGAAAGAAAAAAACAATAGACACTTTTTTAAAAACAAATTTCAAGTGTGATTTCATTTAAATCAACTTTATTCATGAATATAAATTAGCTAATTTTGTAAATTACATACACTATAAAGTAAGAATGGTTTATTAAAACATGTAAACAATTAGTGCCCATACTTAAATATTTTACCTCATACCTTACATATGGTACACATAATTCAGTAGTTCTGTCAATCAGATTTAGTGCATTGTTTCAAGGTACATTCATCCTATACACATATGTCCCAAATAAAACATATAACCACATATTTGCATTTAAAGTGACTGTGACCTGTATGGGCTTAAACAAGGTTCAAAAATGTAGTTGTTATAAATGTTCAGAAATACTTTCAAACTCTGTGGTTGCATATCACCTTTTGAAAAGCTGTGCAAGAGAATGTGTAAAAAGATTTGTAGTTAAAGTAGAAAAAAAAAGTAGGGAATGTCTACTGAAAATAAAATTTATGCAAAAAGGAATAGCATCAGTGAGGTTACAGAAGGACCAGGGAGGAAAAGAAGGACAGATTTAAAGCAGAAAGTAAACGGACATTTAGAGAAAGGAAAACTGAAATGCAAATCTTGGCCCTGGCAAGGCTGACATCGCAACGTGTAACTGCCCTGTAATGAGAAGTTGAATGTGTTCAGGCTGGAGGGTGTTTGAAGTGGAGGAAGAGGAAAGTGAGGAGGATCACTGCAGCTCTGAGTAAGATGGAGGGTCTGTATATGATGGTGGAGGGTCTGCGTACGATGGTGGAGGGTCTGTATACGATGGTGGTACAAGCTGGAAAAGAGAAGAGGAGACGGTTGATGCTGTTTGGTTGCTGCTGATGAAATTCGAGACACCTTGCAACAGACAACCACCTACATGTCTAAATAAAACGAGCATTCTCATGATGAAATGTGATAAATGCGTGAAAATGCACAGTGCTGTACCCTGTATGGAGGCGGGCTGACGTTTCTTGAGCTGTACATGGGAGGGTCTCTGTGAGGGGCTTGAGAATATGGCTCATATATGTCCACTACTCCCTCATCCTGCTCGTCCTCTTGCTCCATCTCATATATGGGGATGATGTATACAGATGAAGAAATACTGGGACTCACGGGCAAGTTTTCCCTTTCTCTGTGTTTCTTTGCATAATGGCAACACAAAAGCCACAGAGTGATACCCAAAAATAACGCGGGAATCCTAAAATGAATACACAGCTTAAATATATACACAGCATGCCTTCGCTGAGGTATACCAGTCACATTAACATGCTGAGAACAGAGGAAATACTCACTCAGCCATAAGATGATGAAGAATCATGGCAGTTTTGTTTTTCCAAATCAGGTTTCACAACTGAGGAAAATTAAAAGCAAGAAAACAAAACAAGATTCGTTGTCAATCAAAACGACGGAACTGATTTGACATTGGAAGATTGCGACTCTTTTATTGTTTGTCGTGCAGTACAGTGTTCGGTTTTGCAAGACATTTATCCGCAGGAAAGGTCAAAGGTAGCTCTTTGTTCATATCCTTGCATGACACGACATAAACAGAATGTCTTTAAGGCAGACGTAATTACTGTTTGTGTGAAATGGGCACAGTACTGGATGTTTCATCAGACACACAGTAGATTTCCTTCTTACTCACATGGAATATCAACTCTGTCTACATAACATTACAGATCAGTTAACGTTGTTGCGACATGTAAGATCATAGATATGAATTTGGATCAGCTGTAGACAGTAATGAAAGGCAGCAGCGACATATTTTCTGTAACAATGGGTCTTTTGTGATCAGACTGGTCCTTCTGTTTCAGGCCTTACTGGGAAGAATTAAATACAATACAACCACGCAAATGATTTAACGTTTGAATAAGCTGGGCCTGACTGATCTGATATTTTCCATGCTGAAAATAAAGCTTACCTTTTAAGTAGCAGCCATGTAGTGAAGATTAAGTAAGAGTGTTGACTTGCAACAGGCATTTTATAGTGTCATTGACCTGTTTAAAGTAGCAGAACTCACTGAGGTTACAGCCTGTGACGTAAGCAACCTCATCATTGACAAGGTAGAATGAGTGTTAGGTGAAAGGCCGCTGGCTTTTAAGGTGACTCTTACTGATTGAGAAACTGCAATAACACAAAGACGTAATAAGGAAGGGAAATCACATTACAGGAAAACAAGAGAGGATAACAGGGAAACACAAGAATCCCTGTTTCAGCTTGTTTCTTAGGAATGCAGGCAACGTGTTGTTGAAACTTGTTCAGCAGAGCAGCACTCAACACGGCAGAATGTCTCGCTTTGGCGGACTTTCTGTCCCTGGAAGAATATCATTTGAGGCTCTCGCTGTGTCATTCAACACACAGGAAACAGCTCAAGGTGAAACCACTTAACACAAGTTTTCAAACTTTTATTTATGCTTGATGTTGATCTCAAAACACGCTGCATATGTTTTATACACCAGTCTAATGGCGAACAGCCAGCATGTCTGCTCACACTGTTCACCGCTGCACCCGAGCTTAACATAAAATCCTCCCATAGCACGAACTATACTGTTCGTTAATGTAGGAGAGGGGGAGGCGGAGGTGGTGGAGGAGGTGGTGGGGGCACAGTACCAGAGGTGCCGGTATGAAGGGGTGGCGCAGGAGGAGGGGGCACAGCTCCTGACACTGGTGGGGGTGGAGGAGGAGGAGGAGGCGGAGAAAGAGAACCAGCTCCTGACACTGGTGGGGGAGGAGGAGGAGGAGGAGGAGGAGGAGGAGGAGAAAGAGAGCCAGCTCCTGATGATGGTGGAGGTGGAGGTGGAGGGGGAAGAGGACTGGCTCCTGATGATGGCGGAGGCGGGGGTGGAGGGAGACATGTGGGTGAGGTCAAGGAAGGCGGAGGGGGGAGGCCAGTGTCCATGGAGGAAGGGGGAGGTGGTGGGGGTGGAGGAGAAGTCACGCTGGAGTCCAGGTCAGCAGTAGGAGGGGGAGGGAGGCTGTCGTTGGTGGGGACTGATGGCGGAGGCACAGCGATGCCAAGACTGGATCTGCACACAGGACAAAAACAATATCGAACTTCAGCCACTATGATCAATGATGACATCCTGAGAGTGAAACAAATGTAGTTTCTTAAAGAAATACATTACTCACTTTCTTGCTGAGAGTTATCGGAGAAGATTGATATCACTCTCATGTGTGGACATTAAATATGTGGCAGTGTAACACTGTAACAACTTAGACTGGAAACAAGGGGAAACAGCTAGCTTCCCTCTGACCAAAAGTAAGGAAATCTACCTTTCTACACATCACTAATTACCTGACTGATCAACAGGTTATATCTCACTTGTTTAATCAGTTCAAATAATGTGTAAAAATGTAAAGATTTTACTGGAGGTTTGTGTCGGACAGAAACCACAACATGTAGTTTGTAAGCTTTGGTTTTTGTACAGACAAAAATCACTAGATACAATGTGTTATTATTATTATTATTATTAATTAGTCGGCTTCAGAGGTTTGGACAGGGCCATGCTTGTTGGTTCCCGTCATCATGCTAAGATAAGCTAGCTGGCTGCTGGCTGTAGTTTCACAGTCACCACACAGACATGAGAGTGGTATGAAACTTCATATATAACTCTCCACAAGAAGTGGACAAGTATGACAAGTGTATTTCCCAGAACTATTCCTTCACAGAAATATTCAGAGTTTTCATAGAAATTAACATTTTCTTGTTCTCTCTTTGTCGTATCAGATATTCCTCCTACACCCAAGTATTAACTGTTCTTGAGAAACTATGAAGGATCCCATTTTCCCACAAAGGGTCTTCTATGCTAGCAAGAGCAGTAGCTTGGTTGGGATAAATTTGAGAAAGGTTATAACATAAGAAACCTGATCTAGTGATTGAATAAAAGCTCCAGCATCCAGGAGACTGTTAGTTTAGCATAATGTAAAAACTGGAAATGGGGGCAAACTGTGAGCCTGGTTCTGTCCAAAGGTAACAAAATCCACCTAATGGCTCGTCTACAGCTCACTAAATAACATGATTTATCATTTCTCGTACTGAAAAACAAGCAACATATAACATGTTAATGATTGAGATTTAGAGGCGCTGATAGACGGATTTTGTCACCTTGGAACAGAACCTGGCTAACTGTTTACCGTTTCCAGTCTTTACGCTAAGCTAAGCTAAGCTAAGCTAAACAACTGATGCCTGTGGTATTTTATTCCACAAACAGCCATGAGAGAGGTAAAGTCTTCTTATCTAACTGGACTGGGTGTACATACGCAGAGGTGTCTGCAGTGCTCTGTATGCTGTCTGCTGTCTTCCTGGGCTGCTGCTCTATGATCTGTGGGGAGAAGACGAACAAAGGTGAACAAAGGATGGTACAGCACAGCTCTACTTCACAGTCAGCCATACTGTATATCACATTAGACATAACACTGGCACTACCCCATGGAAAATGGGGAGTGTTGTGAGCTGTACAGGTTAATCTATTGGGAATTAATTAAAGGTGTGTGGACTTAAACATTGTGATAATTTTTCTCTTTCAGTTTAGTTTCCAATTTACCTGAAAACAGTGTCCAGTGGAGTCCAAGATGGAGTATGATATTGGTGCTCTTGAGTAGCTTATCTCTGGCTGCCTGCCTGAAGGGGGCGGGGTCATAAGCTTGGAGCGGCTCTTGTTTTTGGGAGTGGTAAAAACACCAATCTCTCTCCTTGCTACCTTCTCGTGGTGGATCGCTGCAGCCTGGAGCAGAGCACAGTGTGAAAAGCCACAACCAACACATGCACAAGAACATTTTCATATCACTCATTTCCCCTTGGAAGTGCCTCTCGTATAAAGAAACTGTATATAAAAATAAAAATAAAATAAAGCGAGTAGCTTGCCTGGAGCAAAGCAACAAAACTGACCACACATGAAAGGGTTGGTGAACAGTTCATGCATGAATGACAAGTGAAAAAAAAAAATCAGTAAAGCACACCTCTGGCTCTTCTTACTTCAGTTGCATGCAATTAATGACTAATCTTTTCTGGATTCCATGCAATTATGCAATATCATGCAATTACCTTTGAACATCTACATTCTTTCTTAGGAAATCAAATACATGAAATACAATTATTAGGTAAATATTAAGCCATTTAATCAAACAAAAAGAATGGTGCAGCCTTCTATGGACTATGCCTTAGATATATATTCTTTTCAGCTTTAGTATGCAGGGTCACTTTGTTGTGCTGAACTGTTTCAGGTGAAAACTGTTCCTTACCAGTGACAGCATGTTGATAGAGGACTCTATGGCTTTAATCTGCATCGCCTGTGAGTCCAGCAGTCTAAGCAGAATGCTGGCCAGGCTGTTGATCTGGTAGGTCACACTGGCCAGCGCCTGGTTAGCTAAAGCCTTGGCTTCGTCAAGAGCCTTACTTGGATCCTCTGCCTGCACCATTGAAAAAAACAGGACAGGGTATACATGTTGGAAAATGCTTCATAATGCGTTTAATTTTTCGAAAAGCTCTAAAATGACAGTATCAACAAATAATACTGTGTGTGTTTGTGTGTGTGTGTGTGTGTGTGTGTACGTATGTGTAATATGTTTTATGAGCATTACTCACCTGGAGATAATTGTTTTCGCAGTAATCTGCGACTCGGAGGAGGTTGCTCTGGTTATCAGCGAGAAGTTTCCTGGCATCTGGCGCTTCTTGTAATATCTGAGTAATAACTTCAGAGAAGTTCTTTTGCTCCGCCATTTCTCCCATAGGCGCGGCTAAAAAACTTTACAAACTGCTTAAAAGATTGACTTCACGCTACCTGAGGAGATGTTTGTGCCAGTAGTCAGTCGAGGCGGGGAGGTGTTTGGTCGGCAATGAATGCGGAATTTCCGCAGGGTAAAGATTTTCACCATCTCACAGCAGCTTGTTCCAGGGCAGGGCTGCACCAGGTAGATATCCACTGAGACTGTAGAACAAGTAGGCCTATCTTAGTCTTCAGGAAAGATGATGTCTCTTATATATTATAAGAGGCTAAAGTTTGACATAGACAATAGTATATATAATAAAATATATAATATGCAAGGGCGTAGGTTTGGTCTCAACATTGGTAGGGACGCCATAAACCCGCCACCCCTTGACACAGAAGTAGACTTTTTAATGCCGTCAACCAAACGGTTTATTAATATATAAGATCTGAATTAACATACAGGAATGACCATTCGCAATGTACATGTGTTGAATTTCCATATATGATATATATGTTCATATGTAAGTAAATCATATATAAATATACAATATAGCCTATATGTAAAAATGACATGAAACGTGAAAAATTGGAACAATATCATTTATAGACAAAGATGTCTAGCTACATGTATTTTAGCATGTCTGTTGTCATAGTATAGTAAGGTGAAAAATGTAAAAAAAACGTCATAGTATAGTAAAGTATAAAAATGTCATAAAATGTCATAGTATAATAAGGCATAAAATTTCATACTGTAATGAAACATAAAATTGTCAAGAAACTTCATAGTATAGTAAGGCAAAAAATGACATTATATATTAGGACGTAAAAATGTCAAAAAAGTTCATAGTATAGTGAGGTAAAAAACGTTATGTCATATTAAGACAAAAATTTCAAAAAACGTAATAGTATAGTAAGGCATAAGAATATCGTAAAATGTCATAGTATAGTAAGGCATAAAAATATCGTAAAATATCATGGTTAATAAGGCATCAAATTTCGTAGTATAGTAAGGCAAAAAATGACAAAAAACGACATAATATATTAGGACATAAAAATGTCAACAAACTTCATAGTATAGTGAGGTATAAAACGTTATGGCATATTAAGACAAAAATTTCAAAAAACGTAATAGTATAGTAAGGCATAAGAATATCGTAAAATGTCATAGTATAGTAAGGCATAAAAATATCTTAAAATGTCATGGTTAATAAGGCATCAAATTTCATAGTATAGTAAGGCAAAAAATGTCAAAAAACGACACAATACAGTAAGGCATAAAAATGTCATAAAACGTCATAGTATAATAAGGCATCAATTTTCATAGTATAGTAAGGCATAAATTTTCCAAAAATATCATACTATAGTAAGGCATAAAAATAACAAAAACTGACACAATACAGTAAGGCATAAAAATGTCATAAAACGTCATAGTATAATAAGGCATCAATTTTCATAGTATAGTAAGGCATAAATTTTCCAAAAATATCATACTATAGTAAGGCATAAAAATAACAAAAACTNTAAAATGTCATAGTATAGTAAGGCATAAAAATATCGTAAAATATCATGGTTAATAAAGCATCAAATTTCGTAGTATAGTAAGGCAAAAAATGACAAAAAACGAGATAATATATTAGGACATAAAAATGTCAACAAACTTCATAGTATAGTGAGGTATAAAACGTTATGGCATATTAAGACAAAAATTTCAAAAAACGTAATAGTATAGTAAGGCATAAGAATATCGTAAAATGTCATAGTATAGTAAGGCATAAAAATATCTTAAAATGTCATGGTTAATAAGGCATCAAATTTCATAGTATAGTAAGGCAAAAAATGTCAAAAAACGACACAATACAGTAAGGCATAAAAATGTCATAAAACGTCATAGTATAATAAGGCATCAATTTTCATAGTATAGTAAGGCATAAAATGTCAAAAAATGTCATAATATAGTATGGCATAAAAATGTCATAAAACGTCATAGTATAATAAGGCATCAATTTTCATAGTATAGTAAGGCATAAATTTTCCAAAAATATCATACTATAGTAAGGCATAAAAATAACAAAAACTGACACAATACAGTAAGGCATAAAAATGTCATAAAACGTCATAGTATAATAAGGCATCAAATTTCATAGTATAGTAAGGCATAAAATGTCAAAAAACGTTGTAGTATAGTAAGGCAAAAAATGGCAAAAAATGGCAAAATATAGTAAGGCATACAATTTCAAAAAATATCGTACTATAGTAAGACAAAAAATGTTAAAAAATGACAAAGTATAGTAAGGCATAAAATTTCAAAAAATATCATACTATAGTAAGGCATAAAAATGAAAAAAAAGCGTCATAGTATAGTAAGGCTAAAAATGTCAAAAAACGACACAGTACAGTAAGGCATAAAAATGTCATAAAACGTCATAGTATAATAAGGCATCAAATTTCATGGTATAGTAAGGCATAAAAAATGTTAAAAAATTAAATAATATAGTATGGCATAAAAAATGTCAAAAAATGTCATAGTATAGTAAGGCAAAAATGTCAAAAAACAACACAATACAGTAAGGCATAAAAATGTCATAAAACGTCATAGTAGAGTAAGGCATAAAATGTCAAAAAATGTCATAATATAGTATGGCATAAAAAATGTCAAAAAATGTCATAGTATA